TTATCATAGCACAGAAACAGCACTAGTAAAAGTCACTAATGATATTCTCATGGCCTCAGACAATGGACTTGTGTCTATACTGGTCCTGTTAGACCTCAGTGCTGCATTTGATACAGTTGATCACAATATTTTACTACAGAGGCTTGAATATGATGTTGGAATTACAGGAACTGCTCTAAAATGGTTTAAGTCATATCTATCTGATAGATTCCAGTTTGTAAATGTAAATAATAAATCTTCTTCATACACCAAAGTTAGTCATGGAGTTCCTCAGGGCTCAGTGCTTGGGCCAATACTATTTAATTTATGCTTCCATTAGGTAAAGTTATTAAACAGCATGGGATAAATTTTCATTGTTATGCTGATGACACACAATTATATTTGTCCATAAAACCCAATCAATCAGCTACTTAGACTACAAGCATCTCTTAAAGACATAAAAACCTAGATGACCCTTAATTTTCTCCTTTTGAACACAGACAAGACTGAGGTTTTGGTTTTTGGACCTGAGCACATTAGGAATGAATTTTTCAGTCTTTCTCCCTCGTTAGATGGCATTAATCTGTCCTCCAGCTCTAATGTTAAAAATCTTGGTGTTACTTTTGATCAGGACATGTCTTTTATCCCCCACATTAAAAACGTTACTAGAACTGCCTTCTTCCTCCTGCGTAATATCACTAAAATTAGAAACATCTTATCTAAAAATGATGCAGAAAAACTGGTCCATGCATTTGTCACGTCTAGACTGGACTATTGCAATGGTTTATTATCTGGGTGTCCAAATACTTCTTTAAGACGTCTTCAGTTGATCCAAAATGCTGCTGCCAGAGTCTTAACTGTAGTTAGTAGGAGAGATCATCTCTCTCCAGTTTTAGTTTCTCTCCATTGGCTCCCTGTCAAATCCAGAATAGAATTCAAAATCTTACTTCTAACCTACAAAGCTCTCAACAACCTAGCTCCATCTTATATTACAGATCTTATTGTTCCATATCTTCTTATCAGAGCACTTCACTCTCAAACTGCAGGTTTACTTGTGGTTCCTAGAATTTACAAAAACAGAATGGGGGGCAGATCTTTCATTTATCAGGATCCTCTCTTGTGGAACCAACTTCCAATCTCTGTCCGTGAGGCTGACACATTATCCAGTTTTAAAACTAGGCTTAAGACTCTCCTTTTTGCTAAATCCTATAGTTAGGGTCAGCTTGGGTTTCCTGAGCTGTCCCTTAGTTATGCTGCTATAGGCTTAGACTGCTGGAGGACAAACTGACCACAATTTTCACTCTGCTACTGTCTTTACTTACTCTGCTCAACCTGTTTTGTATTTGTAATTATTTTTTCTATCCTTAACATGTGTTTTTTTGTCTTTCAGATACACCTGGACCTATATGTGGACCTACGATTCTGAGTTTGTCTGTCTCTCCTTTCTGTCCTCTCAAACCAGCCGGTCAAAGCAGATGGCCGCTTGTCCTAAGCCTGGTTCTGCTGGAGGTTTCTTCCTTTTAAAAGGGAGTTTTTTTCTTTCCACTGTTGCCACTGTGCTTGCTCAGGATGGGAGACTGCAACAAAGCCAAGATTCAACTTGTCTGCTGGATTCCTCAGATAGAGAACTTTATTATTTGCTTTTATGTATGTGAATGTTCCTGTAAAGTGCCCTGAGACAACTTTGTTGTGATTTGGCGCTATATAAATAAATTGAATTGAATTGAATTGAATAGTTATCCCATCAAACCTTTTGGCTAATTAACTTCCTCCAAACAGAGGTCATTAAAAATTGTATTTACAACTAGTAATAAATTTAAATTATTTATAATATTTCACAGAACTCTATTTGAGCATCCCACATTTTTCAGTCAGGTCATCTGGACAGTTTCTTTTTTTGTGCTGAAGCCTGTCGCCTTCGGTCCGGAAGGCTTCATCAGTCAAGGAAACGCACAACAAAACAGATTCTTCCCCCAACAGCTTACTCCAAAGTGGAACAAACCAGTTTTGCTTGTGATAAGATGGTCTCTTTGGTACGCCCCCTCCTCCATCTTCTCTAATCACAAGCAGAACTGGTTTGTTCCACTTTGGAGTAAACTGTTGGGGGAAGAATCAGTTTTGTTGTGCGTTTTCTTGACTGATGAAGCCTTCCGGACCAAAGGCAAAACGTTTCATGTCAAAAAAAGAAACTGTACAGAAGACCTGACTGAAAGATGTTGGATTGTAAAGACCTGACTGAAAAATGTTGGATTGTATACCTGGATTATTGAGCATGGACTTTGTTGTTCTATTTGAGCACATTTGAACTATTGTTCTTGGCTAAGCGAATAGGCTGGAGCTTCATCCATCCATCCATCCATTATCTTTACCCGCTTATTCCATTTTGGGTCACGGGGTTCGCTGGTGCCCATGTCCAGCAATCACTGTGCGAGGGGCGGGTACACCCTGGACAGGTCGCAAGTCCATCACAGGGCCACATAGAGACAAATGAGACAAACAACCATTCACTCTCTCACTCTCACCTAGGGACAATTTAGAGTTACCAATCAGCCTAACATGCATGTTTTTGGTCTGTGGGAGGAAACCGGAGCACCCGGAGAAAACCCACGCATGCAGAGAGAGAACATGCAAACTCCACCCAGAAAGGCCCCTGGACCGGGGTTTGAACCAAGGACCTGCTCGCTGAGAGGCAGCAGCTGCAGTTGCGCCACCGTGCTGCCCCTGGAGCTTCATAGCGAAAAGAAATCTGTCATATTCTGATGTGGATCCGACCCAATGGTGCAGGCAGCACAATGACTCAGAGGTAAAAAAAGTAATAATTTAATCAAAAACACAAAACAGCTGGCAGGGCAGCAAACTTACATTACTCAGGGATCACTAGAACTCAGGAGACAGAGGTGACAGTAGACAATGCCAGGACAACAAATAACACAGAGACACACTTAAATACAGACACTTACAAGACCCCAAAACAAAACACCTGCAGGCTCACAGGTGTGGGAAATAAGGGTAATCATACAAACGGAAACAGGACTGACACACCATCCTGACATAATTCAGATTAGTAGCTGAATCTTCAAAGACAATGAAAATATGAGGTTTAGGTTTATGTCATATGCAAATCAACTAAGGTCAACAATGCAATGAAATGCTCAAGACAAGAAGAACTCAACTGGCCAAAACAGAAATACCAAAGCATGTAACAGAAAAACAAAAACAAGGTGCCAAAAGTGAAAAATAAATAAATCCACAGCAGCATGGTCCTATTAGCAGAGTGGTTCTGTTAACAGGCAGTGAAGTTCTCTTAGCAGCATGATACTGTTAGCAGCATGGTACTGTTAGCAGCATGATACTGTTAGCAGCATGGTACTGTTAGCAGCATGATACTGTTAGCAGCACGATACTGTTAGCAGCACGGTACTGTTAGCAGCACGGTACTGTTAGCAGC